ACTCTTCTGGTGAACGTCTTCAATCGCTGTCTGGAGCTTGGACACTTCCCAGCTACCTGTAAAAGGTCCAAGGTGGTACCGATACCAAAGCCGGGAAAGGATCCTACCAACCCGTCAAGCTACCGTCCGATCAGTTTGCTTTCCTCATTTACGCCAGACTCCTCGAGCACACCGAGGCGAACGACATCCTACTGGACGAGCAATTTGGATTCCGACGAGGTCACTCGACGGTGGACCAACTCAAATGGGGTCTCAAACCTTATCAATCAGGCGAAGTCGGTCTTGAAGACAACGGTCATGGCGATACTGGACATCGAAAAGGCATTCGATAACGTGTGGCACGATGGCTTGGTACACAAGCTTATGCAATTTCGTTTCCCCAGCTACCTGGTGAAGATCATCTCAGACTACCTCGACGGCAGGACGTCTCAAGTATGCGTAGGCAGTGCTCTCTCGGAACCGTATGATGTACCCGCTGGTGTCCCTCAAGGAAGCATCCTGGGACCCATATTGTACAATCTGTACACATCGGACATACCGACACTGCCGCAAGGTGGAACACTGTCGCTGTTTGCTGACGATTCGGCAATCAGCTACAAGGGATGAGTAATGCGCACTCTCGTATCGAAGCTCCAAAACGGATTGGATGCCTACACCATACATCTCACCAACTGGAGGATATGTGTGAACGCGGCCAAAACGCAAACCATTGAGGTACGCTACCTTGGCCTCATTCTCGACAGTAAGCTCCTCTTCCGGTAGCTCGTGGAAGACCGAGTCAAAAAAGGCACCATCATGCTGAAACGTCTGTATCCGATCATCAACCGTCGCTCGAAAGCATCCACCGTCAACAAGCTGGCTGTCTACAGGCAGATTGTTGCGCCTATGCTGGAGTATGGGTCTCCGGTATGGAAGGGTTGTGCTAAAACACATCGGAAGAAGCTCCAAGTCTTGCAGAACAAGTTCCTGAAGATGATTCTGAATCTGCCTCCGCGCACACGGATAGCCGACGTTCATCGGCTGGCAAATCTCGATCAAATCGACCAGAGAATGACTGCGCTCGCCAGTAGGCACCAAACTAGGACTCTAAATTCAGAGTACGAAAAAATTAGAAATCTTTACCCATAATGTTGTAAATAGTTGGTTTAGTTAGGATTTAATGTATTTAGATAGGAAATTAAAAATTAAAAATTAAAAATTAAAAATTAAAAATTAAAAATTTTAAAATTTAAAATAGAAAATAAAAATTTAAAATTTAAAATTTAAAATTTAAAATTTATAATTTAAAATTTAAAATTTAAAATTTAAAATTTAAAATTTAAAATTTAAAATTTAAAATTTAAAATTTAAAATTTAAAATTTAAAATTTAAAATTTAAAATTTAAAATTTAAAATTTAAAATTTAAAATTTAAAATTTAAAATTTAAAATTTAAAATTTAAAAATTAAAATTTAAAATTTAAAATTTAAAATTTAAAATTTAAAATTTAAAATTTAAAATTTAAAATTTAAAATTTAAAATTTAAAATTTAAAATTTCAAATATAAAATTTAAAATTTAAAATTTAAAATTTAAAATTTAAAATTTAAAATTTAAAATTTAAAATTTAAAATTTAAAATTTAAAATTTAAAATTTAAAATTTAAAATTTAAAATTTAAAATTTAAAATTTAAAATTTAAAAAATTTAAAATAGAACAAATGTTCACACTGTAAAATAATAAATATCAATAAGCAAAAATTAGCCAATGGCTTTCAGTAATTTTAGTAAAGAATGAATAACAAATGTTGATCACGTACATTGTAAAACTATGGTAAAACAAAACAACTGAATAAAAATAAATTTAATGTAAAAAAAAAATCATGTTTCATTCTGTACCCTTCATTTAACCATTGAAGAGGAAGCAGCGAATAAATAAAGGCAGAATTGAGAACAGTGTCTCATTCTTTTCGTCCGAGAACGGAGACTTCCCGAGCATTCGTGCTTCGTCCAGTTCCTGTTCGTTCATCCACTGGTTGCATGTGGTGAACGATTCATCTTCCATAAGTTCCACCTAGTGGACACTTTTAAAAGAGTTGAAATTTCCTGTTTTCCTGCTCATCGGAGCCTTGTGTTCGGCAGTTTGCCGTGGTCCTTCGAGAGAGAGAGAGGTTTACTTCGCTGGTGGCTGTAGTGGTTACAGCTGTTGGCAGCTCAACGACTGGTGGCTGAAGAGTTATCGGCGACCCATCGTTCCTGCGCTGTCCGCTGTGGTGTGCGCAGCCAACGGTGCATCGTCCCTTCCCTGGTACCTGTGGTGTGCACAGCTGTCAGTGGCTCATCGTCCCACTACTGGTGGCTGTGAGGTGCACAGCTGTCGGTGGCTTGATCACGAGTTGTGTCGTGGTCCTTCGTTCGAGAGAGGCAGCCCGTGGCTGGTCGCTGTAGCGTGTACAGCCAACGGTGACGCTGCTGGCTGTGAAGTGCATAGCTGTCGGTGGCTCGATCACAAGGTAGGTTTTCGTCTGTGCTGTTGTGGTAAGGGCAATGATCTACCCCAAGAGAGATTGAGTACATAACACCCTGAACGACCGTTGTTGAAGGTAGTTACGGGTGATCTTAACGAGATGCAAAGGAAAGTTGAAGTTACAAAGCCCATTGTGCCAGACATTGTCAAACGCTTTCTCAACGTCTAACAATGCCATGGCTGTGGACTTGTATACAGCTTTGTTACTTCGGATGTTATTCATCACCCGTACCAGCTGATGATTTGTGGAGTGCCCCTTCCTGAACCCGAACTGTTCCGGTAGGGGAATGTTTTGCTTCTTGACAAACTTGAATAAGTTTCTCGAACAATTTGCTCAGCGCTGAAAGAAGACTGATCAATCTGTCCTTCCCGGGTTTGCGGATAGGTATGATTTTCGTTGTCTTCCAGATACTTGGAACGTAGTGCAGTTCCAAGCATCTGTTGAAGACAGCAGCCAGCAGAGAGTGAATCTGAATATTCCGTCGAACCCGGAGGCCTTCATGTTTTTGGTGCATTTCAGCGCTGAGCAAATCTGTTCCACTGTGATTCTATCCTCCGGAGGGATACCAAAAGAGGAGGAATCAAGGTTGAGTACGCATTGCTCAACATGAACTTCGAGCGGACTTTGTATGTTGGAGCCAAATAAGTGCGATTTGGCAATATGCTCACCAATCGCATTTGCTTTCTCCTGAGGGGTGATTATGAGCCGATCGTCATCATATTCATCTTTGAGTGGTGGAATGGGTTTGAGGTGCGTCTTTAGGACCTTGGCAACTTTCCAGAATGGTCTGGAGCGGTCGTTTCACGTTTCCTCGCTAGATCTCCGATTCTTTGCAACTGGCGTCTACGAACATTTCTCAGGCGAACCAAGAGTTAGGTGTGGGAATCAATGGCAATAACTTACCCCTCACAGGAAATCTTCGGATGCACGCCTCGTCAGCTTGGTGGACACCGTGGTGGGTTGTCGATGATGTGACGCGTCCAAACTGGGCCCAGTTTACGCGATGGCTTGGAGCAGGATTGAAGTTGTAGCCCAGTTCAGCCACCACCGGTTGGTGGTCGGAACTGAGTTCGTTCAAGGCTACCGGATTGAGGTCTAGCGTCGATGGGTTGCCCGCCGGTGAGATGAATGTTGGCTCATTCGAAAATCAAACGGAGTACAGCCCATGCTGCGAGTGGTCGAACAGCAGACGACCGTTCTGATTCTGTTGGTAGTTCCACCAGGCCTCATGGCGAGCATTTAGATCTCCTCCAACTACGAAGCGGGAACCGGTACGGGTGATGGTGGACAGGTCTTTCTTGAATTTAGCCGCTAGTCCACTACTGGCGGCACACTGTCGAGGGCAGTAGCCGGCGATGAACTGGACGTATCCAGTCGACGAATCCACCTCCACACCAAGGGCCTGGATGATAGAGGTGCGGATATGGGACAGAGTGTGGTATTTTATTCCTTTTTTGACGACGACCGCAACACCACCTCCCTGGAGCTGGTGCGATCAAGCCGAATAATATTATGGTCAGGCAATCAGAAGCTGTCGCCGGACTTTAGATGGGTCTCGGTTCGAAGGCCCACGTCGATGATGTGCTTGCGGAGGAGGTCGGCAAGCTCAATCTGTTTAGCTTTTACAGAGCAAGCATTCCAGGTGATGATAGTTAGCGGTTTAGACGCCATACTGGATGATGAACTTACCGAGGACTTGGATCTTTTCGGGCTTATTGCGGCACTTACGAAGAGCACTGATCATGTTGACGAAGATTTCCATCAGTTCATCAGCTGAGAACATATCGGGGTTGTTGTTTGTAGCGCGCATAATGCGGCTAACGGTTTTCCGTCTTCTGGATCGTTCCCTGGCTCGATAAACGGCTTAAGCGCCACCTCCAAGGAGGACCGTCCGTCGAGTCTTGTTTGCCCGGCTAGAAACCCGACCTCAGGGCGGTTTTGTTCAATCAGAACCAAAAATTTAATTTCAGAACGAAACAGAAGACTCAAACAACACGATGGATCGAGATTCTCAACACAAAGAGGTCGCCACAATCGCGACGAGAGAATAGTTGATGGTACCGGTCGTTCTACCTACTCACGAAAACAACACTCACCAGTATCATCACCGGAGGAACTCACTGATTCAAAGATCCCCGCCGATCGAGACACGTGAGTGGAGAGACTGATTTCCCAGGCAGTCTAACCTGGCGAAATTTAACACAAAAAAGTAGAACGACGCGAAATATGAGAATTCTCGAAACCAAAAAATAAGTTACATGGGAAACTTTAACATTTAACGGAAAAACATTTATTGGGGTAAACTACTATAAAACATTTAAGTAAGTTTATTTAATTGTATAACCTAGGTTTTCATTATTCGTGTTTCTTCCTCTCTTGTTCCCTACTGTGTGCGGATTTTGATCTAGTGATCGCTAGCTAGTTCTTCTCATCGAGCTCTTCTTCGTGGTGTGTGTGTGTGTGTGTGGTGTCGTTTACGCATGCGCATGGTTAGATTAATTGTTGGGTTTACTCACGGCACCGAAATAGCTGCCTGATGAATTGGTCAGCAAAGCAGATACCGGCTGGTTTGCGGCGGTATTGTGGCTATCGCCCGAAATGCGGCTTTTGGCGATGATGCTGCGGAAATTCCCAGTCGATGGATAGTCTCGAAGCTGGTACTGAAATCGCGCCGAAATGAATTGGCGCTGTAGACGACGTTGGGGCGTCGATGTTTTACACGTGGCTGAAATGGCAAAATGGCCGCTCTGTCGAAACGGTTTGTTTCCTTCCGGCTTTCCCCTCAAACCGGGTCTTTTGACACAGAATTGTGGGGTCGAGAGTCGCGCTTTATCTCGAGATGCGGTATGCCGAGCTTCGGCCGTATATTGCTAGAAGCGAATCCTACATAAAAAGCCGTCGAACGACTGTTCGACGCGTTAACAATAAAATTTCCACACAAAACAATTATCCACGAATTTACCTTTTCTCTAAGTACGCACACACAAAAATTGACCGCACGTCAACTTTGACCTAACTGCTGAACTTTAGGCTACACGAAGGAAACAAAAAGTAACATTAAATTCGATCACTAGACTTCTCACATTTTTTATAGGTACCAATTAAAACACACCGCGACACAAGAAAACTATTTCACGCACTCTCGCCTCTTCCACGGTCCAGGTCAAAATGGACGAGTGGAGGTTCCGAAAACCCTCAGATCAAATCGTGATCATAGTCTTCGTGGCCGGAAGTACGTCAATTACCGAAGTAATTAACGACCTTTTCAAACGACAAATCTCATCAACTACGATCTCGAGCCGATTGAACACTCTATCTCTTTCTCGCTCGTACCGTTTGATTAAACTGTCTCGCTTCAATCTATTTCTGGTTCGATTGATTTTTTTTTACGAGAGAGAATATTCGGATTCGAACCTCGGACTTTACGACGAGTCTCGCAAACCAGTGAACGTTTCCAGTGGCGGATCAAATGAATTTTGGAAGGCAGCTTGTATGCAAGCGTTTCGTTTTTCTGCGGATTTACAATCCATCAAGGACAAATTTCCACAGCATTTTTCTGAAATGGCTTCCAAGCTTCCAACCCATCGGTCCTTTTCAGGGCCACATATGACTGATAAAAGAGTTAACTAAAAAGTTAGAGCTTGTATTCAAGACATATCGTCCAGGATTGGCTTGTACTACATGGACATAGACAGAGCACCTCACAAACAGAACTCTCAAATTGCTTCCGAATTTCAACCTATCGAACTTTTTCATTGATAACGAGTTAAGAAATCAATTGAATATATACTATACTTTTGCTGTGACATCAAAACCACCTTTCGTAATCTTGGATACAACCTCTTACTTTTTATCTTTCAACAGTGCATTTTAGGTTTTCGTTATCGAACTTTTGTTATCAATTCGATTTCTGGTTGATCCGTTTTCACATAAACAACATGTGATTTCCGTCACTGCTAATCGCTCTGATAAAGCCCTGCCAATTTAAAATCGGTACATTTTCAATCGGATGTGTCTCAGAATTCTGGTCACAGCTGAGTTCGTTCAAGGCTACCGGTATTTGTCAGGAACAGGTCATGGGAAGTATAATTCCATTACACATCATAAATTAAATACTCACTCAGCTTGACATAGAAACAATTACCCAAACTCTTAGCGTACTGAGAAAACACTCAGTCAGCACCAAAACATTTTCCTTTTCTTTATTTTGAGACCATTTTAGTGCTACCATATGCATACACTGATCAATTAACCGATTCCCATTTTGCTTGAAATTTAATTAATTTGACATTAAACTCAGTTTAATCATATCTAAGGATTAAAATTTTTTATACTCTCTTTCTATAAAATAATCGTATGATAATCATAGTTGACGAGACTGAAATAATGTTTTTTGAATAATTTTTAACCATTTTGGATTCTATTATAATAATTTTTGAATGAATTTTAATATTTTTGGATTATACATTAATATTAAAAAAGAATAAAAATTAATACTGGAAAGATTATTTAGAATTTAATCATGCAAGACAACTGCCGAAGTAATCATGGCTCGGACTGAATAAGGTGAAGCGGGAATCTGCATACTTTTTAAGCTTTTTTGATTTAATTTAACTTTGAGTGTACAATAAATTCCGCGCGTAGGGTTTTTGATCTAATTTCCGTCCTACTAAGCACAACCCGTGCTTTACCTCACTTTTTTGAACGGGTTTGATCAAAAAATGGAATATTTTTGTCATAGATGACTTTTAAATTTATTCACCTTTCCATACGTACCATTGAATTTGATAAAGAGTCACAAATTGTTGAGATATTGTTTAAAATCTAATATTGCTTCTGGATTCCATAATTCGTTTTACGAGTTTCAATTCCGTCCTAACGCATTTAGACCTGTGCGCCGATCAAAATATTTTCGGCGGCGTCACGCCGTTTGCTTTCGGTGGCGGCGGCGTGGCGGCGTGGGTCGGCGTGAGTTTATTTTTAATGATTTAGAAAAAAATACTTTTCAAACTAATCCCACATGTACAATAAATGCTACCCACATATGAGTTCAGATTACTCAAAATCGCTAAAACGTAGGTCACTCATAGTGTGAATACATTTTGCGACACTTTCCCGGGAAAAACTTCTTGAATATGTGGAAAATTTAAGAAAATTTTACACACGTTTAGAAGTGCACTAGTGGAACGACTACAACTACATTCAGTTTTCCTCATGTTCGAGATTTTCCTCGGAAAAGCGTCGGAAAATTGACTCATTCTATGGGTGAGCTACGTTTTCGCGAATTTGAGTAACCTGAACTCAAATATGAGTTACTCTTACTCAATTTTGAGTCGTTCTCATTGGCCGTGCATTCAGAATTTGTTTGGAAAAGTAAGTCAAGTGCTAATTTACATTTGCAGGGGGTGGAGTCGTATAGCAAAGTGTAAGCAACCTTTTTATTAAGTATAAGAAAAGTACGTTATGTAGAGGTGGATAGTATTGAAAAGTAATCTTTTATCATTTATTGAGTATTACACGTAATTTATATGTTGATAGTGATAAATGATGTGCTTTTATTACTCTGATGCATATTTGAATATACGCGCATTGTAGTCATATAACTTTTGTTTATGTAATTGAAGATGAAGTCTTTCGGATATACGTAGAATCACACGCACAACTTGGACCTGTTAGAGATTAAAAAACAAGGTCAAATTTCAGCGTGTTGTTAATAATAGTCCCTTATTCACTTTTATGTAACTCCGATCCTCGTCAGTAAGCCAGTGATTATTGCACAATTCTATTTTTGCAAATGCTGTAACTGTCATGAATTTAGAATGTTTTATCCACATTCTTATGGTGGATGCCTGACCGACGCTATGTTAAAAACTCGTTCACTTGGTGTGCACACACAATACCTTTTGCGAGACCTTGCGAACCAAGGCTGCCAAGCTTTCTAATTTTCCAAAAGCAGAGAATATCTCCATCTACAACGTTGTTCGGGTATGACGTAGCCAAATATGCGGTGCACTCTTTCTCGATGACAGAGGTCACACTATCTTCAACGTTTGAGTGCTTCATAGCAAGACGAAGCAACGAGGAAGATGAGTTAGAAGGAAGTTCATCGCATTCATATGATGTAGTTACCGATTAGAAACCCATTTGAATATTCGTTTTTTAATGATGTCCGTACAATAAACTCATATCACATAGTACGTACAAGAAATTGGTTATTGAGCGTTCATCCAAAGCACTTTTAATGCAATTCAGGTTCATAAATCGAGGGTCAAGTAAAGTCGAAATCAAAATTAGGTCCTTAACAGGAAACTTTCGATTCAGATGCTCCTTCATCCCCAGATTCATGTGTGTCATGGCAAGCAAGTCCTCATTTTTTTTTCATTGATACAAGCTTCAATCACCGATCGCAAGAGCATGGCAATGTTAACTGCTGCATTCTTTTCAGCAGACAACAGGGTTACTATACTATCTGTATCTATGTATTACTATCTGTAAACCAAAACGGAATTTTACTACAATCTTTTCACCACCATTATGTCACCATGTTTTAGAAACAGACTAGAGTAAAATCACATTGGACCTAAAATGAAACTTTTCACACTAGACGTTCGCTACGTGATCGACTTTTAACTGGCACGTTTTTAACTTGTCCGCTAACTGAGACAATTTTTCAGTTGAAGTACATTTTCTGCCAAAATGATGCAATTTCAAAATGTCAAGATTAACTGGATGAACACTGATGCTTTTTAAATGCATTTCAATTAGTGAATTCCGTTCGTTAGGTGAAAATCAAACATTATTTTCTCAGCTATCGAATGTCTAGTGTATCAGTAAACAAACATCTGATCTTCAATGCACTGACTGGATAGTAATTTTCAAACCCTTCGGTCAGATGGAACTTATTAGTAGGCTTAGTTGCTAGAGATATAGCAACAATAGTTTACAATTATAGTTTCAGAACCACGACTTCATTAAAAAACTCACCACAAACGGCTCAAGATAGTTTCGGAAGTATTCAACTAGCGCCCACTCATGTGCTGTGAATATGAGATCGTGAGGCGGTTCAATAGAGCATTCACGCCAGCTCTATTTAGTTCGAGACTTTTCATCATATTACGTAAGTAATGCTAACGTGTTACGCTGATTGTTTTAAGTGTTGGGGCTTATTTAGGTCCTTGACGGAACATTGACATTCGTTTCACACAAACTCGGAAGTTGAGCATTTAGCTCCTCCTCCATACTAGATAACGGGTTTTGCTCATCCATATCAAGTCAATCTCCAGATTCTTCGATATCGGTTAAGATGTGTCTGTTTATTTTATCCATTTCGACTTACAATTCCGGACCTCGGTATCACCCGGCCTCTTCTTAGCCTCTGACATGCATAACAAGCAGATCACTTTCTCCTTCAATATATGTATTCTTACGTCACTCTTTCCAAGTTTCACTTTAAAGGTTTTTTCCTCTCCAAGTATCAATCGACAGAAAATTCAAGGGAATTTTATTTAAATTCAAATTCGACATCGCTGAAGTCGTCGTGAATGGAAACAAAACCTCCAAAACTCAAATGCGTAAAGACGAGACCGATGCGCAGGATCTATAGGTGAGGCAGAAGGAAACGTAAGTCGACTGTTTCATTCATCCGGTGTTCTCGTCGGATCGAGAGAAAGAAAGAGTCGGCTAGTTTCCTTCTGCCTCACCTGTAGATCTGGCCGTTCTTGCTCATCGAGACGAAACCAGTGAACTGAAATTTTTGACGTTTGATCAGCGCACCAAAACGCAATCTCGAACAATTACGAGCAGGAGAACAAATAGTGATTCATCCCTGTGTGCTAGATAGAGCAAGTGCGAACAAACGTAAAAAAACTAA